TGTCAAAGTCCGTTTTTTACATAAACTCAATAAATCCCACTTGTAGGGGAAGTGATCTGTAATTTTAAATCATCTAAAATGACATAAGTATGCCTCTCATCTGGCATACTTCTTCTTCCTACGTAGTCTCTGCTTTCCAGCAACGATATTGCAAGGGCTGAACTACTACTGGCCAGAGTTAAATAGTAAATAACCATTTTAGTAATCAAATGTAATTAATAATTATAGCTAAATCTAAATGGAAAAAGGATAACGCTGATATTTAAAATTATTTTAAAAAAGAATTTATGTTTGACAATATTTTTCCGAAATGGGTAATTTTAAAATATTCTCATAAATTTATATATATATTAGTATCTAGGATTAGCAAACACTAAACCTATATTAAAATTTAAGTTCACAAGCGATAAATTTATGCAAGAAAAGTTTTAAAATCCATCAGAAAAGAGAAAAAAATTCAAAGCTCTCAAAATTTGATTAATGAATACTAACAAATAGTATGACTTACAAATAATCTAATATCTTTTATAAAGAAGAAATTCAAACATAAAAAAGAAATGTTAAATATTAAAATTTGATACTGAACTTAAGGTGAATCTTCACCGCAACATTGTTTACATGAAAAGCACACCGACATATATAAACAACTTATCTTATCTTATATGCAATAAGTAAAAAACCTAATAAACACAGCATATAAATTAACTTTAAAAAACAAAAACAAAAAGTTAGATTTCAAAAGTTCAACTATTCATTATTGAAATTTAAAAATAACTAAATTAAATTATATATCAAAAACCAAAAAAAAAAGAAGAACAAACAATAATCATAAGTTCTAAGCTTCATGTTAAAGCATATAGCCATTCAAAGATTTTATTAAAACAATATATTGCTCATCTCCCTTATTAAAGCATAATTATGTTATTTACATAAAATAAAAAAATTATCAAAATTCATTTTTTCTGAAACTTTTAATTTTTTAAAAAACTTCAAATCATGGCATATGTAAATAACCTTGTCTATCAATATTTTAGAGTTACAAAAACATATAGAAATTTCTATTGATATATATGTCAAACAAATATTTCATTTTATATAGAAATATATAGAATATAATGTTATTATGATTATATAAAATGACATATACTGTACCTATTTATATACTTATCATTTTTTTCAAAAACATTTGCAAATTTGAAACTATATACAGAACATGGTATTATTTCTTACATGAAAATGTTTTGTAAAAGAGAGAAGTAAGTGTGGTAATACACCAGCATCTATTTTCTTTATATACAGTTCTGTTACAACAAGTTCTTTTGTACCTCATTCTATCTTTTTCATTACTCTAATACTGCAGTATCAGTTGATAAAAGTTTATAATGTTACTAAAGTTCAAAAATCTGTAAGACTAAGCTCAAACTTCTAAAATGTGGTATATATCTTATTTTGCAAAGAATTGATAAATTTTATGATTTTTAAGTATAATTCATATCAATCTATGTATTTTATATAACTGATGTGAATATTAATTTTGCTCTTTTTATCATAATTTCATACTTAACTAAATTTAAAATCCAAAATACTATTATCATAAACTCAAAAGCTTTTTGACCAAAACAATATATATATATATATATATATTCAAAAGCTTAAATGGTGTAGGATATGTGAGTTAGCGATGTAGCACAGCTGTGTTAGTGTGTAACTATTGAACTTATTTACGCTAGGGTTTTCTTTGTTACAACATCATCTTAAATTAGGGTTTTGTGTTCAATTTTATATTGGTATTTTATAGGGGAATTGCTCTTTATAACCTAAAAGTTGATTTTTTTCTCAATATGTAGACCCTTTATTAAATGTTTGGCAAAACTAACCCAAAGGAGTAGTGAAATTACAGTTCAGTCATTTGTGACTAAACAAAAAACGTTTGCCACAGTTAGGATTTTATCCTTCGGGAAGTCTACGTAAGAAGTCTACAATCGTAGACTTCTAAAGAAGTCTATTTTTGTAGACTATTAATGAAGTCTACATAAGTAGTTTTCTTTTGAAGTATACTACATAATTAGTTTTTTTAAAATTAATTAGAAAATATAAAATAAATAAATTTCTAAAAAATTGGTAAACATAAGTAAGACATATATATTTGACATGTATAGAATACAAAATTTCATACAAATGAATCAATTTAAATGCAGAAAGAAAATTAACTAGAAAACATACAACCCCTTAGAAGTCTACTAATGAAGTCTACTACATAATTAAATCTTTTAAAAAAATTACTAAAATTATAACAAATATTATGATACAAAGATTATAAACATAATCAAAACATAGACATATGGCATCTCTGTTAAATAAAATTTCATGAAAATAAACCAATTTTTAAGTTTCATAAGTATAAGATTGAAAAGGTTTGAAGTTCAAAAGATTAGGGTTTGAGATGTAAAGTTTAGGGTATTGATAGGGTAAAGCCAAATTCTATATGAATTATAGTTTATGGTTTGATTAATGATTTAGAGTCCATATCATTGTTATTTGAACTTTAAAATGTGAAAATGGTAAGAAAATTAATCTTTTGATACAAATTTTATATCAAAAATATTTGATTTAGGGTTTATGGAACAAACATATCCAGTAGACTTCTCGGGTAGACTTCTCCAGTAGACTTAAAAAAAACATGGCGGGAAATCAAATTAACAAATTGGGCGGGAATCGGAACAAATTGGGCGGGAATCGAAATCGAAAAATATACTGAAGTACACTTTTCGAGTAGACTCTGAAGTACACTTTTCGAGTAGACTTCTTAAGAAGTCTACTTTCGAGGCACAGATCTGAAAACTCATAAAAGTTGACCGAAAAATCACCTACCAGTGGTATTTAGCTTATTCAACCACCGATTTCTTTGATTCCAGCCACCACCAAACAAGTCCAATCGATTTGCCAGACCAAATCACCAAATATGGCAAACATCAAGTTTCAAAAACTTAGATTAGAGAGTTCGTGTGCTGAAAATGGTGAAAAATGGAAGAGCAGAAGGTTAGGAGAAGAGGAAGTGAGGTTACAAAGCTAAAAAATGGGTCTTTGAAGCAATAAAAGCTTCGAATTGGCTGAAAATGGTGGTTGAGTGAATTGATGGTGATGACATTTTCGTGAATAAGTGAGAAAGATGAGGATTGTTTGGTAAAATAAATTTCTGTAATAATAAAAAAAAAATTTAATGGCATATTTTCATGAATAAATAGAACTGATATGGATATAAGTGAGAGAAAGTGGTTAATTTCAAAAATGATAAAATGGGAGGTTAGTTTAGCAATTTACTTAAATTTATGGGTTATTTTTGTAAAATCTCCGTATTTTATTACTAAAAAAATGTCTTTTCAAATTAAAAGTCTTGTATTCTCTCTAGTCTCTTAAAAAGAAAACGTGAGATTTAAGCTATAAGTATTATTGAATCCATTGATCTTCAAAAACTCTTATATATTCGTTGCACCATTAAATCCTAACCAAAATGACAAGTTTTAAATCTTTTATAACACATTTTAACGGCCACAAAACATATACAAAATATCAAAACTAAATTGGATAATTAACTCTGTTCAAATAAATATTCTACATTTTATATAGAAATTAACACAGAGTAAAATATTATTGTATTATTATTATAAAATATAACAATTGTGCCAAATTATATTAATTTATTGTTTTTAGATAAAATTTGTGTCCTCTTTCAAAAGTCCTAGTATCTGTAGGCATATGCAGAAAAAGGTGTGAGTATGTGACTGTGTAAATAATTAAGATTTATGGTAATAGCTTCAATCATATGGTATATTTGTTTTTATTAAATATAGGTATAGGTTATATAAAAAAATATTATAGCCAATTAGGTTAATGGAAAGTGTTAAAATTTAAAACCAATATGGTAATGGAAATCACACGTAGGATAAGATGAAAGCAAAAATGAGTTTGAATCCTTTTGTTTTTAATAAGATGAAATGCAAAGAAAGTGTGAGTGTGTAATATATAATTCGGGTAATAGCTCCAATAATAGTATAGTAGTTTATACAGAAAACATTATGCTGTCAAAAATATTATAGAAAATAATATATCCAATTATAGACAAAAAAAAAATACTCTACAAGAGAAAGCTTTTATAGAAAATATTATAGCCAATTACTTTATTGGAAATGTTAAAATTGAAAACTAACATGGTAATAAAAATCTCACGTAGGATAAGATGATAGGAAGAAGATGAAAGCAAAAATGATATCGTCCATTTAGGAGTAATTAACAGATATCTTACAACAGCGAGTGTTGATCTTTCTTAGGCGATAATCTTAGCAACAGTTCTGCTGCGAATCAGTTTGACGGTAAGTTCTTCAGACTCATATTGCTTTCTCGTGCGCATAGTTTATGGTTGTGACAATATCAGAATCAATTCTGAAATAAAAAAATACATATGATTGTTTTTTTGAAACTTTAGGATTACATTTCTCGCAATGGATAGCGATAGGATCAGCGAATTACCGATAAAAGTGCTAATTCATATACTCTCATTCCTTCCCACCAAAGCTTCCGTTTCGACAGGCATTTTGTCGAGGAGATGGAACAGTCTCTGGGTTGATGTTCCTCTACTTGACTTGGATGACTGTGATTTCCCTGCTCACCTTGAGAAAGATTGCGAAAGCTTCATCGACGAATTTCTGGAGTATAACTACGACAAAGGGATGCAAAAGTTCAAGCTAAAGTGCAAAGCGATATTGTATTATGGACCGCTCGTGAGGTGGATTGAGACAGCAGTTGATCGTGGAGTCCAACATTTAGATGTTGCGACAACCGATATTGCTTCTTATATGCCTCCGAGCATTTTCAACAGCCAAGATCTGGTCTCTTTAAAGCTCACAAACGGAGATATCCCGGCACGCGAGTTCGTTGTTTCTTTACCTCACGTAAAGACTATGTTTCTCGAAAACGTTTCGTATAGAGCTAATCCTTTGATCATGGAGAAGATCATATCAGGCTGTCCTGCTCTTGAAGATCTTACATTGATTAGGTCTATGGATAATTGGTATCTAGAGGTTCCGCAGCTTCTGTCCGTGAGGTCTAGGTCCCTTAAAAGTTTTATTATCATTTTCGACGTTGCGTATGGTAGGGCTGGTACAGATTACTCGGTTGAGATTGATGCTCCAAGACTCGAGTATTTGAGTTTGAGTGATAACCAATCTGATGTGATTGTAGTGAAGAACTTGACTTCTTTATTTATGATCCATATTGATACCGAGTTCAACGTTAAGTTTGGCGGCATTCAATTGTCACCAGCCAAGAGAGATGCTATCCGTGATTTTCTCACCGGTGTTTCAGGTGTAAGACATATGATCATCTCTCAGGGTACTTTACAGGCAAGTATATTTATACAATTTGTGATTTATAAATAACAATTAGATTAATGTTCTAATTTTTTTTATATGATGTAATATTTGCTTTCTTCTTGAAGGTCTTCTATCGATATCCCTATCTATGGCCATTTCCCAATTTCGGTAACTTGTATCGTTTGGAAGTTGCGTTCTGTAGCTTCACGTTACAATTTTTGCCAGTTTTTCTTGAAAGCTGTCCTCGTCTGAAAGAACTCATCCTGGTACGAATTTGTTTAAAATTTGTGATTTTATTAAGTAAGAACGTGTATTTGATATATTCTTAACTTATGTATTTTTCTTTGTAGGACTTTGCTTTTTCGGTGCCGGACAAGAGAACTAAACTTCGCTATGTGCCTCAGTGTTTAATATCTACTCTGGAGTGTGTTGAGATTAACAATGTGATTATGTGGGAGGAAACTGGGATTGAACTCATGAATTACTTTCTTGAGAAGTCAGCAGTACTCAAGAAACTTTCTGTGAGTTTCACAGGTTCTTCTATCACCAACCAAGAGCGACATACCTACATGGACCTTGTAGCATCCACCAGGCGTTCTGGCGAATGTCAGGTTTTCGCATATTGATATGTCATGGAAGATCAATGTCTTTGGAAATTGCATTTATTATACATTATTAAAATTCTTTTCCAAATCCTTGAGTGGATCGGTACATTGATTAGTCGTGATCTAGTTGTTGACGGCTTCTTTATGTTGCTTTGTTTCAGACCTTTATTGCCTCTGGACATTTAATTTAAGTAAGACATTGATTTTTTTAAATTCTCATGGATCCTATATTTATGGAGATGCTTGTCTGAAGCTGTCTTGTTCTTGAATATCTGACTCTTGATGATAATGTGGTGGTTCTGCGTGAGAACTCTCATACTCTAAAGAGTCTTTTTTTTTTTTTTTGTGTGTGTTATGTTTAAACTCTGAAAAGAAGAATGCATGATGTAGAATATGTCTAAGAAATGATCATTGTGATTGCTAGAACCCGGATATCTAGTGGAAGACATGATTCTTTGATTACTTGAGTTTGGATTCTTTGATAAACGTACATGCATAGAAGCCATTTTATGAATTTGGTTTTAGTGCTTTGATCTGTATCTCACTTTTCCTCGACCAAAAAATCGTCACTATCATCTTGCTCCTGGCTCCTCTGGAAAATTATAATTCTATCATCTATGATTATAGGGAAGCTCATTTCAGGCTGTCCTGTTCTTGATATCCCTACCTCGTGAATAATTTTTTAGTTAGCTGCTTTTCCGTTTGACGGCTCAAACTATGAAGATCTTCCGTTTATTATGTAAATGGAGAAGGGATGGTACAAATTATACATGCAGCTTAGATTGATGTTAAAGCATATAGCCATTCAAAGTTTTTATTACATCAATATATTGCTCATCTCCCTTATTAAAGCATAAATATGTTATGGTAATAATTTTTGAAATGACTCAGTTGACAATTTTATTATGAAACATTATCCTTTTTGAAATTATCCATAAAAGGGATCTATTAGTATATTTTTAATCTGCTAGTAATTTATATTTAGTCTACTAATAATTTGAAGTTTACGTTCAACTGTATGAATAATCATTTTACCAGTAATTAACATTCAGTATGTCATTAGCCTGTCATTAGTCTACAAGTAAAAATAATTAGAACAATAGTACTGATATTTATAAAAATTATAAATAATAGTTATTTCCACAATTTTCCCTTAGTAGAGTACCTATTTCACATTATTTTCTCATTATAGGTCATTTTGAAGCACTTCATCTATGTTATTTTATATAGAAAATAAATATTATTTTTTTACATAAAATTAAAAAAATATACTTAAATTCATTTTTCTCCAAAAACATTTTATATGTTTTTTTAAACTTCAAAGCATGGTGTATCCAATTAACCTTATCTACCATTGTTTAGAGTTTCAAAAATATATACAAATTTCTAAAATATTGATAAATAAGTAAAAACAATCATTTTATACAGAAATATATAGAATATAATGTTATTATGATCTATATAAAATGACATGTACATATTTAAATACTTATCCATTTTTCAAAAATATTTGCAAATTTGAAACTATATATAAGTTGTATATAGATCATAATATTGCTTCTCACATAAAAATGTTTTGTAAAAGAGAGAAGTGAGTGCTAAGACATCAACATCTATATTTCTTTATATACAGTTCTGTTGTGTTTTGTGTACACCAAGTTTTTTGTACCTCATTCTATCAGTTGATCAATTTTACAATGTTACTAAAGTTTGTTTTTTCTATCAGTGTTATCAAAGTCTGAAACTCTATAAGACTAAGTTCAAAATTCTAAAACGTGGTATATATCTTTTTTTGAAAAGAATTGATACATTCTATGATTTTTAATGTATAATTTATGTCAATATATGTAATTTATATATACTAATGTGAATCTTGTTTTTGCTCCATTTATCAAAATTTCATAAAAAAATTTAAAATCCGAAATAATATATCATAAATTCAAAAGCTTAAATGCTCATATATGTACTACTAGCACAGCTATGTAAGTGTGTTACTAGTCTTGTCGTTTACAAATTACAATAATTGATATTAAAAACTATTGAGCCTATTTACGCTAGGGTTTTTTCCTATATATGTTAGGTTTTTTTTTATGACTTCATCTTTATGTTAGGGTTCTATGTTCTAACTGTGTAACTTGGTTTTTGATTACAGAGAATTTGCTTTCAAATTTAATGTCTTGTATTCTCTCGGAGAGAACTTGAGATTTAAGCAACAAGTATTATTAAATCTATCGATCTTCGAATGTTCTTATATCGGGTGATGGTCTAGTGATAGTGAAAAAATGCTGGTTTTTTGTGCTTCGGGTTGAAACCCATTGGAGATATATTCTTTAAATAGGAATATATAACGGATTAGTTCTAGGTATTGTGGGAGGTTATAGGTCTAATACTTCCGCAGTTAATTATTTTTGTTTTAAACGGAAATGAGTTTTTTCAGTTTTTGTAAGTAAATGAAATTTCTTGGTGGTAAAATTCCAAATTACCATATGTTTACAGTAACCAAAATTTAATTATTTAACTTCTGCTAAATCGATATTTTAACAGTTCAAACATAATTTTTTTATTTAGTTCAAAAGCAATAACAATGGTTTCGATATGAATGTTATTGATTATAGTTTGGTAGTTTTAGAAATATATATTTATAATATATATTTGATAAATAAATAAATTTTATAATTCAAAAAAAATATTAATTAATAAATTTTTATTTATAATGACATTTTGCTTTATATAATTATAAGAGAGGATCAAGTGACAATTTAGTATAGAAAATATATTATATTTGCCATTGGCATGGAGGTACATAAAAATGTATTATTTTATTTTTATATATACATATATAATTAGTTAAACAAATTTGATAGCAAATTACAATTTTCAAAAATAAAAAGGATATACAATGCGTATTCAGATTTAAAACATATGAATATGTAACTTAAAATAATAGAAATTTATTTATTTATATTATAAAAATTATTTTATTATATTAAAAATATATATAATTTAAAAAATATCGTGCAGCGTAGCGCGGGTAAATACCTAGTATTTTTTAAATTGGAATATATAACGGATTAGTTCTAGGTATTGTGGGAGATTATAGGTTTAATATTTCTGCAGTTAATTGAAAAACAAAATATTAAAGCATAACTTAAAAGACAAGTTTTAAATCTTATATGACATAGTTTAAACTTTAAAGGCCAAGAAACATATACAAAATATCAAAACCAAATTGGATAATTAACTGTTTAAATAAATATTTTATATTTTATAAAGAAGGACAGAATGAAATATTATTATATTAAATAATATAACAATGTGTTCCTGATTATATTAAATTATTGATTTTAACATAAAAATTTTGTCCTCTTTCAAAAATCCTAGTATCGTCGTCATTTGTAGAAAAATGCGTGACTGTATAACTGTGTAATAGTTGAGAATTATGATAATAGTTCTAATAATATATAAAGTTTTTTTTAACTATAATATGGTGTAGTTTATATAAAAAATTATAGCCAATTATTGTAATGGAAAGTGTTAAAATTCAAAACCAAAATGGTAATAGAAATCAGACGTACAATAAGATGAAAGGAAAAAAGAGTTTGAAGAATCTTTTTGTTTTTAATAAGATGGAATGCAAAGAAAGTGTGAGTGTGTAATAGTAATAATGGTAATAGCTCCAACAAAAATATAGTAGTTTTTATAAAAAATATTATAGCCTATTATAGAAGAAACAAAATACTTTTCAAAAGAAAAAGTTTGTATAGAAAATACTATAGCTAATTATTTTATAGGAAAATGTTAAAATTGAAAACTAACATGGTAATAAAAATCTCTCGTAGGATAAGATGATAGGAAGAAGATGAAAACAAAAATGATATCGTCCACTTATGAGTAATTAACAGAAATCTTACAGCAGCGAGTGTTGATTTTTCAGCCATCACTTTTCAATCTCTTTCTTAGGCGATATCGTCAACAACAATTCTCCTGCGAATGAAATTGACGGTAAGTTCTTTACACCCATATTGCATAGTTTATGTATGTAACTTGGAATCAATTCTGAAATATATTTTTTTGAAAGTTTAGGATTTGATTTCTCGCAATGGATCGCGATAGGATCAGCAAATTACCGAATGAATTGCTCCATCATATACTCTCATTCCTTCCCACCAAAGCTTCCGTTTCGACAAGCGTTTTGTCGAAGAGATGGAAAGGTGTATGGGTTGGTGCTCCTCTACTTGACTTGGATGACTGTGATTTTCCTACTCACCTTGAGAAAGATTGCGAGAGCTTCATCGACGAATTTCTGGAGTATAACTCCGATAAACGGATGCAAAAGTTCAAGCTAAAGTGCAAACCGATGTTCTATTATGGACCACTCGCGAGGTGGATTGGGACAGCAGTTGATCGTGGTGTCCAACATTTAGATGTTGCGACAACAGATGCTTTTTATCTGCCTCCGAGCATTTTCAACAGCCAAGATGTGGTCTCTTTAAAGCTCACATACGGGAGATATCCGGCAACGCGAGCTCGTTGTTTCTTTACCTCGCGTAAAGACCATGTTTCTAGAAAACATTTCGTATAGTTGTAATCTTTTGATAATGGAGAAGATCATATCAGGCTGTCCTGCTCTTGAAGATCTTACATTGATTAGGTCTAGGCATTACAGGCATCGAGAGGTTCCGAAGATTCTGACCGTGAGGTCTAAATCCCTTAGAAGGTTTCGTATCCTGTTTAACGTTGCGTATGGTATGGCTGGTACAGATTACTCGGTTGTGATTGATGCTCCAAGACTCGAGTATTTGAGTTTGAGTGATAACCAGTCTGATGTGATTCTAGTCAACAACTTGACTTCTTTATTCATGATCGATATTGATACCAAGTTCAACGTTGAGTTTGGCGGTATACAATTGTCACCAGCCCAGAAAGATAATATCCGTGATTTTCTCACCAGTGTTTCAGGTGTAAGACATATGATTATCTCTAAGCTTACTTTACAGGCAAGTATTTATATTATTTGTGATTCATAAATAACAATTAAACTAATGTTCTCTAATTCTCTATCATGTAATATTTGCTTTCTTCTTGCAGCTCTTCTATCCATATCGCTATCTATGGCCCAAATTCGGTAACTTGTATCGTTTGGAAATTGCGTTTCCTAGCTACGCGTTACATTATTTGCCTGCCTTTCTTGAAAGCTGTCCAAATCTTAGGGAGCTCATCGTGGTAAGAAGTTGTTTAAACTTGTGATTTGACTGAGTAAGAACATATTTGATATATTTTTAAAACTTTTTTCGTTTTTCTTTGTAGGACTTTTCTTTTACGGTGCCGAAAGACAGACTTCGCTATGTGCCTAAGTGTTTACTATCTACTCTGGAGTGTGTTGAGATTAACAATCTGATTATGTGGGAGGAAACTGGTATTGAACTCATGAATTACTTTCTTGAGAATTCAGCAGTACTTAAGAAACTTTCTGTGAGTTTCACAGATTCTTCTATCACCAACCAAGAGCGACACACCTACATGGACCGTTTTGCATCCACTAGGCGTTCTCGCGAGTGTCAGGTTTTCGCATATTGATATGTCCCTCAAGATCAGTGTCATTGGAATTTGCATTTGTCATACATTATTAAACTCTTATTTCCAAATCCATTGAGTGGATCGTTACTTTGATTAGTCGTGACCTAGTTGTCAACTGCTTCTTTATGTTGCTTTATTTCAGACCTTTCTTGCCTCTGGATATTTAATTTATGTAAGACATTGGTTTTCGTAAATTTCTCATGGATCCTTTATCTATGGAGATTCTTGTCTGAAGCTGTCATGTTCTTGAATATCTGACTCTTGATGATAATGTGGTGGTTCTGCGTGAGAACTATCATACTCGTGTGTGTGTGTGTGTGTTATGTTTAAACTCTGAACAAAAGAATGCATGATGTAGAATATGTCTAAGAAATGATCATTCTGATTGCTGTCGTTTAGAACCTGGATACTTAGTGTAAAGATATATATGATTCTTTGATTACTTGAGTTTAGATTCTTTGATAAACTTATGCATTTTTTATTATTTCTTTGATCGGAATCTCACTTTTCCTCCACCGAAAAATTGTCACTATCCTCTTGTTCCTAGCTCCTCTGGAAAAATCATAGTTTAGATTAAACATTGTTGGTTTGTTGGATATATCACACCCATTGAGACAAGAATGTGTGGATTGGATTGTTTGGTTAATGAGAGAGAGCAAAGGCTTTTTCTTGCTTAGGGTAGATAGAAAAGGGAGCTTTATGGAAACAAATTTATCTATGTATTAGTATCACTGCTAATGAAAGTCTCTATGCCATTGGAATTTAATTTCTGTTGTTAGTATGCTTCTCCAAGATCTTTTCTAAAATTTATGTATGTATTAGTATCACTGCTAATGAAAGTTCATGAATGATGTTTCTATGGATGATCACTTTCGGGTGCCTTAGATGGATGCCTACTTGTGGTTGGTCACCCAAAGGACTTCATGAATGCCTAATTACTTTGATTTTAATTTTGAACAATGGAAAAACCTTCTCATTTAACTAACACACTAGTGAATTAATTTCTTGAGAATTCGGCTGTATTCAAAAATTTCTGTGAGTTTTAACAGATTCTTTTATGACTGATGAGAATGCAGAGATATCTACAAGGAACTTCTTACATCTATAAAGCCTAATCTTGCATAAGTTTTCATTTATACACATGTAGTGAGTTTTCTTTTTACGTCGTTTTCTCATTAACCTTTTTTAATTTTATTACCAATCATACTCCTTATCAAAAAGAATTTATATCCACCATAGTCCTTTTTTAGGTCAATTTTCACACTAAATTCGAATGAAATCGTACCTTTAACGACCTCCTTGTAACAAATTTCCGAAAGAGAAACAATGGGCCTTGGCACTCATAATTTAAAAGCCTAACATATAACAAAAATCAGTAAAAGCTATAGATGGCCCATCTTTATCCAAAATCGGATTACAACAATTGTCACAAAACCAAGACAATTCAAGACGCTTCTCGAAAAATACGGAAGCGCTTCAAAATGAAAACATCAGACCGGACTTTCGCTCTCTCTACATCTCTCTAGAAATCTCCATCTCCGCCAACTATTTAAATCTCGCAACTCTCTAACAGTCTCCATCAATCGAAACCAAAAACAAGAATCAAAGAAGAAGAAATCAAGAAAGCAAGTGAACGATGGATTTCGGAAGGTTTCCGATAATCTCAATCCTGGAAGACATGCTTGAAGTCCCCGAAGATCACAACGAGAAGAGCCACAACAACAATCCATCGAGAGCTTACGTGCGCGATGCCAAGGCAATGGCGGCTACACCAGCTGACGTCATCGAGCACCCGAACGCGTACTCCTTCGTCGTGGACATGCCTGGAATCAAAGGAGATGAGATCAAGGTTCAGGTCGAGAACGAGAACGTGATTGTGGTGAGTGGAGAGAGGCAGAGAGAGAACAAGGAGAACGATGGTGTGAAGTATGTGAGGACGGAGAGGAGAATGGGCAAGTTCATGAGGAAGTTTCAGTTGCCTCAGAATGCTGATTTGGACAAGATTTCTGCTGTTTGTCATGACGGTGTGTTGAAAGTGACTGTTCAGAAGCTTCCGCCTCCTGAGCCTAAGAAACCAAAGACTATTCAAGTCCAAGTTGCTTAAGTTTCTGAATTTGTGTTTTGTTATATCTCATGTTTTGTTAAATTTTCGGTTTAATTGAATTCGGAACAGAAATGAAAGCTATAATAACGCAAGACAAAGCTATCAGGCCCAATGTGACAACCATTAGCCCATGTGTGTTAGGGTTTCTGTCAAATAGATTAGTATAAGTATGATTGATATGTGAACAAGTTAGCTATCTATTTTTCAATTTTAGATTTATATTTTGCTAAGATAATTTGAGCCCAAATCTATCTTCTTTTGAGTTTGCTCACAAGGGGGACTTAACAATGGTCGCCGCCAAAATATCTAGCATTTTTTACCTCGTAAAAAAGACATGAGAGTTCATCACAGTAACTACTAATTTCTCAAACTCACACATCCAAAATAATGATGGGCTAGTGGTTTCAACTTTCCACTTCTAGAGGAGTTTCTCTAATATTAGTTTAGTATAGGGATCGATTTTCAAATATGGAATTTTTTATTTGTCTAGTCAAAATGGTGAGCGATTCTCATCTTAGAGGATAAGTGGTTGGATGAGAAGCCTATATTTTCACATCAATCCCAATAAACATCAGTTTTATCACGGTTTAGTGAAGTATATAATTATTTTGTGTTAACGAATCTAATTTTATAAAATAAAATAGATTAATTGTGGCATATGGATAACGTTCAATTTATACATACGACTATTTTTTCTTCCACACAATAAAATGATGAATTAGTCTGGTAGATAGATGCATGCATTGGTAAGTCGGTAACAAGTTTTTTTGGGTTTAAATGTTAAGATAGTAGACAAGTTGTGTTCATACATACGCCTTACAAAATATTAAATTCAACACCCAAATTTGATTACAACCGCAATTTCATATTTTTTCTTCCAAAAACATTTGATCAAACTTTTTGTTCCACACAAAAAGTCATTTATATATATATATATATGTATATTTTTTTTAAAAAAGTTCAAATTATTGCTACTCTCATTAATCTACTATATGTAGCAGCTACCGTGTACTTTGACGCAATCAACAACACGTCACATCTAATTTAATAAGGCATAGACTTTTCAGAAGTCTTGGCTTTTCATTTATTTATTTTTTGGGTCAGGGAGACTTGGAGTTGCGTTTCATTTGGTTCGTTGAACATATATGAACTAAAAAAATATTGAAAAAATAAAGCGAAAACATTCAGAATCCACCTTCATCATGATTGGTTCTTGTTCTTCCTCTCGACCACAACACTTGTTCTTGTTCTTGTTCTTGTTCATCTCATTTCTCAGCTTATCACTTCAATACGACGTCAATGTAAACGGTTCGGGCTGGGAATTCCCTTCACATTCTTCAGCTTCAACCGGCAACTTCTCCAACAACCTCAACAGTCTTATCTCTTCAATCCCTTTTCTCCATCCCAACACCTACTTGTTCTACAACCTCTCGGTCGGAGAAATCTCAGATCAAGAACGAGTAGAAGCCATCGGAATCTGCAACAGAGTAGTCCCTCGAGTAGATTGTCGTAACTGTATCTACGAAGCCGCAGTGAATCTAACCACAAGGTCTCCAAACCGTAGAGAAGCTTACTTAAGGGCCACGGATTGTATGTTTCGTTACTCGGACAAACCCATTTTCGGAAAACTCCAAATGACTCCTGTATTTGAGGCACTAAACCCGAACAAAACAACGGGTGATAGAAACGAGTTCATCCGGTTACAGAGCGAGTTACTGAACAGATTCAGGGTAATTGCGGCAGCAGGTGGATCTAAGAGGAAGTATTATCAAGGAAACGGTACTGGTCCTCTGCCTAACACGACGTTCTTCGGTGCCGTGCAGTGCACGCCCGATTTATCTGAGAAAGATTGTAACGACTGTCTCATTTATGCTTTCGGGAACGCGACGAAAGGGAGAACAGGGCTCAGGTGGTTTTGTCCGAGCTGTACTTTTCAGATACAGACTAACTTGATATTCTACTATCTCGAGTATGAGTCTGATCCACCATCAGAACCAGAACCAGGTAAAACAGAGTACCCTGTTTTGCCCCCTCCCCTTAAAGAAAAAACAGAGCATTCTGCATTAGCTACTTGCATACATATCCATATCTATAGAAACTGAGATTATTTAACTTTGTAATCTCCAATTAGTTTCTTGTTTCTGGCAGGTCCTTTACATATTTCGTTGCCAAGCGTAAACAAATCAAAAATAATAATCGCCACCGTTTGCTCTGTTATTGGTGTTGCCATTATTGTTGCGTGCATTTACTTCTTCTTGATAAGGAATAAAAGAAAGGAAAAACAAAGACATGAAGGTGAGAAATGTTTTAGTCAAAAGTCAAATCTTTAGGCTTTAGCCCGAAACTTTTTGTTTGACCTTTTTTGGTCTCCTGAAGAACAAAGCTCATTATTTTTTTTGGTTTTACTGCTTTTGGATCAGACATAGATGTTGACGACAATGAGATTGCAGATGTACACTTATTGCAACTTGACTTTGATACCATAAGATTAGCAACTGATGCCTTCTCTCCTGACAATCATCTTGGAGAAGGTGGATTCGGTGCAGTGTATAAGGTAATTAGATTGATTGTATCTTATGTTATAATCTTAATTACACCTTTTTTTAACGATTCATTGTCGTAAATGTTGTCTTAATGATCATTAGGGTGTTCTTGATTGTGGAAAAGAGATAGCTGTGAAAAGATTGTCAATGAAATCAGGACAAGGAGACAAAGAGTTCATAAACGAGGTCTCAGTAGTTGAGAAACTTCATCATCGAAATCTTGTTAGGCTTTTAGGTTTCTGCCTTGAAGGACACGAAAGACTACTCGTATATGAGTTCTTCAAGAACACCAGCCTCGACCATTTCATATTTGGTATCTTTTGATCTACTATATAGCATCTCAATATCTAGTTACATATGGTGAATTAGTTATTCTCTATATCTAGTTATACATATAGTGGTTGATCGAAATCGTTTTTCTTTCTCAGATAACAACAGGAGAACGATATTAGATTGGGAAACACGTTATAGGATAATCGCAGGTGTTGCTCGAGGTCTTCTTTATCTCCATGAAGATTCTCGTTTCAAAGTTATTCATAGAGATCTAAAAGCAAGCAATGTTCTATTGGACGATGCAATGTGTCCCAAGATCTCGGATTTTGGAATGGCTAAGTTGTTTGATACAGACCAACCATATCAGACTAGGTGTACAAGCAAAGTTGCAGGAACCTAGTAAGCTGCCCAGAAACATAACAAAAAAGTACCATTAAACTGCTATAACTTGTGTAAAAAAATTCACAAAATTTTTATTTGGTTGTTGCAGCGGTTACATGGCTCCAGAATATGCGATGAACGGGAAATTCTCGGTGAAAACCGATGTATATAGCTTCGGTGTACTAGTCCTTGAGATCATTACAGGCAAGAGAAACAATTGGTCTCCTGAAGAACATAGCTCATTATTCCTCCTTAGCTATGTAAGTGAATGAGAAAGCAGAGTTTTCTAGAGTCTAGAGTGACTTTCAGATTCTAGTTCTGGACTAACTTTAATTTCAACTCTTATGTGTATAGGTATGGAAAAATTGGAGAGAAGGGAAAGTGTTAAACATGGTGGATCCAAGTCTGATTAAGACAAGAGGTCTTAGTGAGGAAATAATGAAATGCATTCACATTGCTTTGTTGTGTGTTCAGGAGAAAGCAGAGAGTAGACCAACAATGGCTACAGTTGTTCTAATGCTCAATGCAACTTCTTTCACTTTATCAAGACCCTCGCAACCTGGATTTTACCCAGGAGATGGAGAATCAACAAGTAGTAGTACTCCACCAACAATGACTTTGAATAATGTTACAATCACTGAGTTAGACCCTCGTTAATTAGTGTGTAAAGAGTCAACTTCGAAAAAGTATTCTCGGTGTGATTCTTGAAATCAATTGATGAGACCATAAGTGTTGTTTAAGATTTTTGATCTCAATTGGTATCGGTTTCTGCATTTGTGGTTAATCTGGTTATTGAAGAAACCTGATGCAAACCAGCTGGTGTTTATGCTAAGGTTTGGAGTTATGTTGATCTGTTTGGTTGCGAGATAGATGCATCACAAACTTGTACTCTCTCTAAGACTTGACAAAGTTCGTATATATACCTGTAAAGATTCTCAAGTACATTATATAACCAATTGACAAAAAATAGCTATTCATACATACAATTGTTTTAACATTAAATCAGTCCAAAACTATTCTATATCCCATCTTTCTGTTTCCCTTTTATTTAGTGATCTAACTGACACCAACAAGATTTATAAAAAGAAAGAAGAGGAAATTAGTCATTTGTAATTTATATAAGGAATTAGATGGAGTGACATAGAATTCCAGTGTATGATGACCCCATTAAACATAAGACTTCAATCCTTGCTTTTGCTTTGACCCTATAACTCTTTTCACCGGCTCATCACTTTTTTAACTTGAACCTACCATATTTTGGTTTTAACCGGTGACCAAAGAAATGAGGAGAAATAATGAATTCCTCTTTATTCCTTAAATTTTTTACCATTCATTAGTAATATTTATTCCATGTTATTTCCTCTCATTCCTTATTATTTAAAGAATTATAGAATAAAAGTATTTCTTATAAAATATGGAGAGGAACAAAAAATATTCTTTATTTTTTTATATATATTTTATTTCTATTAATTCTTTTTTTTGTTTCTTTCATTCTTTTCCTTCTCGTTCCTATTCTTTTCTTATTCCTATTGATTCCTTTTATGATTCTTTTTATTATATCAGCACGATCATACGTTTCAATTATCCTTTTTTTCTTCTTCACAATTTATTTTTCTTCATTCCAATATACTTTCAAAATGGCATTTAGTGTCTTGTTTATTGCCGGTTTACTACATACCGATTAACATTGTGAATTCGTTTTGTACAAACCAGCAAATCACGGATGTGTATACAAGTTCTTATCCCTGTTTTCAAATTGTACTACAGTCCAACCAAGTGATATATTTGGTTATTTATATCATGGCCAATTAACCACATACAACAAGACACACTTAAGTGCAATCTGTAAGAATGTGTCACCAGACCCGATAATTGGTCGACAAAAAGTACTCTAAAAAGAACCAATTTTTCAAAACGTGATTCCGGATTTGATATATATATATATATATATATATATATATATATTTCCACATAATTCCGCATATGATCAAACTGTTCTTTGTATTCCTTATTATACAACTTTAGAACTAGTAGCCTCACACTCTGGAATTCACCCCTAGAACACACCAAATTATATAAGATATGGATTGCAAAAGGGAGCATTTATCTCAGATGCAAAATTAAATGCAGTAAATAAGCCATTACCACCACAGCATAATTCCTACAAGTTTTACAATATGGTAACATAAATTTATTTAACAAGCATGTATATAGAAAATATTCTCAAGTCTCAAGTTCAAATTTCATCGCTGGATAAAAACTAATTTATCTTTTTTTTTGTTTACCAAATTTTGATAGTTGTAATAATTCAAAAATAAAAAAACTAAACTACTTATAATATTATACATTGCAAATGATCTATACACAGCTATAGCATCCATACCCACACAAATCAACAATTTATACAAATTTAAATGAAAAGTAAAAACAAATTAAGAATATTGTTCCAGTATATAAAGTACATATCCAATCCAAAAATTACAAAAGTATTTTGTCCTATTATGGCTGTTTAGGCTGTTTATGTATAATTTACAGATTATTAAAGAAATACTCCAAAATAATTTGTAATAAGAAAATAATATAAAACAGATATTTCATCAAAAGAAAATTGTAAAAATGAATTTTCTTTTACAATTTTTATAAATATCAGTGCTACTCTTTTAATCACTTTTACTTGTAGGCTAATGGTAAACTTATTGATCATACAATTATACGTAGACTATAGTCAGATTAATGGCAGACTAAATACAAACTACTAACAGACTAACGGCAGACTGAAAGCACACTATTAAACCCTTCTGATGAATCATTTTACAAAGGGTTATATTTCATAATAAAATTGCCAAATGAATTATTTCAAAAATTATCCCTAATCCCTTTATCTCTTTTTTTGTTCAAATACTTAAATTCCATAAAAAAAAATTAAATCGGGTTTGGGTTACACAAGTGGAGCGATTCCTTTGCTAAGGAATCGGCATCCAAGTTCTTCTCCCTTCGAACAAACTCGAAATCAACAACAGAGAAAACGAAAGATAGATTTTTGATATCATGAGAGATACCATATATTTCCTTCGGTGGATCTTCATCCCTTAGAGCTTTAATAAGCTTTTGGGAGTCGGATCTGATAAGGAGCTATTTGATGTTTAGTTCATGTGCATGCAGGATTGCTTTTTTCATCGCTAATGCTTCCGCCATGAGGGGTGATCCAATCCACTTCTGTGAGCCTGAGCCTTTCCAATTGCGATTGTGGGTGTGGTCACTGATTACCCAGCCGAATCCCGCTTGGCCGTCTTCCTCTCTCTAGGCTGTGTCTAACTTGCAGGTCGTCTTGATTGCTCTGACAGATCGGCGATAACCAGGAACGGTAGGTTTTGAGGCCTCTACTTCAATTTGTTTTTGCTTGGATTGTGCCGCTTGCCATTCCTTTGCACTGCAGATCGCTTTTGAAACTGTTTCCTCTGCAGATATGCTCCTTTGGTTGAAGATTCGTTGGTTTCGCGTGGACCAGAGCGACCAGCATATCCAGGGGAAGAGGGGAGTGTCACTAATTCCGGAGGGTGGTAAGCATTTCCAGTTTTTGCCTATTCTCAAACCAGTAATTAGGTTCGGGAATATCGCCATCTCCGTTGGATTGAGGAAAGGTGTGTGACTCCAAGTTTCTTCTGCGAATGGGCTGGTAAAGAGAAGATGCGTAGTGGATTCCAGTTCCGGGCAGCATGGGCACTCAAAGTAGGAATCAGGGATTCTTTTCATCATGTTTTCGCCAACCGAGAGCGCCTCCTGAAGTGCTTTCCAGAGGAACAACTTGATTTTTGGAGAGATGGTTGAAGACCATACCTCTTTTCTCCAGTCAACGTCTAGGGTGGTGGATACCACTCTGTGGGTAGTGTTAGTCTCCTCGAGAGCTGAGTAGTATCCTGTTTTTACCGAGAAGCGCCTGTCTCTGTTGCTAGCCACAAAAACTTGTCTGGGGCGCCAAGTTTGCTTGGGTGAATACTGATGATCTCCTTTTCGTATGCAGGAAGAATCTCTCGCACTTGTTGTAGATTCCAGCCATCACTACTTGGGAGCATTAGGTCTGAAACTCGCATCTCCTGATGTTGTAGGGGTGCCGGGCCCATTGGGGACATCAGTGAGCTCAGGGAGAGCCATGGGGAGTTCCACGCTGGGGTGGAAAGTCCAGATCCAATCGCTATTCCAGGTTTGTAGTAAGCAAATCTCTTCCAATGAGAATACATTTCCAACCATGCGAAGCTGAAGCTTGTACCTTGCACTCCAGGAAACTATTTGAGCTGTAATACTTTCCTTGTAGGATTCAGGCAAGCAGACATGAGGGGTTTTGTAAGATCCTCCAGCTGAGTTTTCAAAGGAGGGCATCGTTGAAAGCACTTAAGTCTCGGAAGCCAAGATCTACATTCCTTTTCGACTGAGTTAGCTTTTTCTAGGGGATCCAGCACACCTTTTTCTTCTCCGGGTTTGTATCCCACCAAAAGCGGGTAAAAGCTGATTGGATTCTCTTGTACAGTGACGATGGGAGTTTAAAACAGGACATTGTGTAGGTAGGCATTGCTGAAAGCACTGATTGTAATAATGTCATCTTACCCGCACTAGGTAGGAATTTTGAGGACCAGCTTCCGGCTCTCTATTTGATCCTATCTAAGATTACACTGAACATATCTTTTTTCTTTCTTTCGAAGTGTTCAGGGAGCCCCAAGTACTTGCCCAAACCACCCTCTTTGTCAATATTCAGGTCTGTTTTCACTCTTTCTCTTATGCTAGCTGGAGTCTTTGCTGAGAATGTGATAGCTGACTTTGAGCAGTTTATTGTTTGTCCAGAAGCATTCAAATACTGCTCCAGGATTTTTTTGAGGGCCTTGCAGCTGGCTGGATCCGATCCACAGAAAAATATGGTATCATCCGCGAATAGCAGATGATTTACTCTCGGGCAACCATTTGCAACTCGGATACCTGGCAGAGTTCCTTCATTCTGGGTTTTGATGCATAAACCCGAGAGCACTTGGCTGCAGAGGATAAAGATATAAGGGGAGAGGGGGTCTCCCTGTTGAATGCCTCTATGAGGTAATACTTGTCCCTCAGCTGTTCCATTCAGTAGGAAAGAATAGGTGACCGTGCTTACAAATTCCATGATCCAGTGAATCCAAGTTTTGTGAAACCCTAGTCTCTCTAGGACCAGCTTTATGAAGTCCCATTCCAGCCTGTCGTATGCCTTGCTCATGTCTGTTTTCACGGCCATGGAACCTCTTGCTCCTGACTTTTTAAGATAGTGTAGTACCTCGTGAGTGATGAGGACGTTGTCGGAAATGGCTCTTTTAGGGACAAAAGGAGATTGATTTTCAGACACAATGTTGTTGAGTAGAGGTTGTAGCCGCTTTGTTAGGAGCTTAGAGATGATCTTGTAGTAAACCGTGCATAGGGCTATGGGTTGATAGTCTGAGACTCTTTTTGGACCATGAGTTTTTGGTATGAACCTGACATGAGTCTCATTTATGTTTCTTGGCAGGTTACCCGAGAAGAAGAAGTTCTGAATCTCCTCTACGATGTGTGGTGACACAATTCCCCAATTTGTCTGGAAGAAGCTGGCTGAAAACCCATCGGGTCCTAGGGCTTTGTCCGAGTAAATAGAGAAGCAGGCCCTTCGGATTTCCTCTGCAGTGGGTATCTCAATTAGTTTGTTATTTTCCTCCGCTGTGATGCGGGTTTGCGGGGCTTCCTGAACTATGTTAGTCCTCTCTCCTTCCCCTGAGGTAAAGATTTCCTGGAAGTAATTTTGTATCACTGCTGTTATCTTGTCTTCCTCGTACACTGATAGTCCTGAGGGGTCTTCAATGACTGATATGTTGTTTACAGCTTTCCTTCCTCTGGTGATGGCATGAAAATAGCCTGTGTTTCTCTCCCCCAAAGCAAGCCAGAGTTGTCTACTTCATTGTTTCCAGTACTCCTCTTCCTGCTTGTATGC